AATACGTTATTTTTCCATGAATTTTGAAAGATAATTTTGTGTACTGGGGGTTGTTGCCTTTAAAGGCTTCAATTACTTCACTCTGTGCTATCCTTGATTTAAAGATTTGTGTTGAGAAGTTTGCAGTGATTCTTATGGGCTTTCTTTTTAGTTGATTTGTTTCTTTTCTGTAACAACTTTTAATGTACTGTTCTTGTGTTGAATTTCTGGAATCTTGACTATTATATGCATTTTATCTGAACATGGCTAATTGGAATTCTGTATGCCTTTCATATGAAATTCTTTTTCCATGCTTGAAAAATTTTCTGCCATTATTTCTGTGAAGAGGTCTATGTCCTTGGTCCTATCTTCTTCTCATTTTTTAATTGATTCTAATCAATCATATGATATTCTTTTCATTTTCTAGTTGTTTTGGGTTGAATTTTCATAGACTATCACTATTTTTAAGAAGTCTTTAGTTTGATGATTACTAACTGCAGTCAGTCTGATATTCTATCCTCATATTGATTGTTTTGCTGTGTATACTTTCAATAGGCTTTTAACCTCCTGGATATCTGTTTGAATCTGTCTCATGGAATCCAATGTTTTTTCCTGTGTTGGGTATCCTTTTCCTCAGCTTCTCTCTCTCTCTCTCTCTGATCTGTATCTGCTCTAGATTCATTGATCATGCTCTTCATTATAGTCATCATCTCTTTAGTTACCTGTGAAATTATTTCTAGTTTGTTTTTCTAGAAATTCATTCATCTGCTTGGTTACTTATGCATCTACTATTTCAGAAAGTTCAGTTGGGTGGCTTTTGATTTACTTTACTTTAATGCCCCCTAAATTTGCCTGGGTGAGCTGGAGGCCTGGCACCATGTCTTGCTTTCATGTCTTCTCATTTTCTATGTGTTTTCTGCATTGATGCTTATTTTTGCATTTGTTTTCTGGATTAATGCTTGAAAGCTGATCCACCTCCCTCCTTCTTTCCTTCCCCCAAGTTGTTGTATTTTAGTATGTGAATTCCAAATCTTGGGGAGGCTGATTTGCTGCTATTTATCACACTACCATCTCCCCAGAAGTTTCTTGTTTTTTTTTTTCTTTTATTGTTTACATGGTGAAAATTATTCTTGGTGAGGATTACTGAGGACATCAGTGTTTTTTCCTCAAACTACAAAATCTCTTGTGAGAAGTAAGCTAGTTATGCCAACAAGTTTCTAAACAACCTTAAGTGAATTTTCTGTTGGCATAAAGACAGTAGGCCCAGCAAAAGAATACTAAAAGCAGCAAAAGAACCCTGAAAAGTAGCAAAAGCAGTACTGAGAGTAAAAAAGGAGAAATTAGAAATCAAAGTTAAGAAAGGATGGTCTGCATAGATATTGGATCACAATAGGGAGTCTGTAAAACACAGTTGAGAACAATCAGGAGACACTGAATGAGATGCCACATAACTTAGCTACTAAGGGAGAGTGCTTAGCAGTTAGGCATTTGTTTGTATTCTTTGAAAAGCTGTCTGTTGATATCATTTACCCATTTATAAATTAGGTTATTGGGTTTCTGCTTTTTGGAACTGAGTTGTGGAAGTTCTTTATATAATTTGAATATATGGTTATTATATCCTTATAAAATTATTGCTTGCAAACATTTTCTCCCATTTCATAAATTGTCTTTTTACTTTGTTTCCTTTGCTGTACAGTAACTTTTGTTTGTTTGGTTTTACCTTTGCTGTCTGTGTCTGGTGTATCACATCCAAACAAAGCCTTGCTCATACTGATGTCAAGGAGCACCACTGCCAACCCAACGATGTTTCCTTATGGTAGTTTTAGATCTTATGTGTAAGTCTTTAGTTAATTTTGAGTTACATTTTGTGTATTATGTAAGTGTCCAATTTCATTTTTTTGCATGTATTTTCATGAATTCTTGTCAGGTACTGATTTACTAGAAATGCCTAACATGAAGAAATCTAGATCCTGCCAGCCAAGGATCTAGAAGCTATGACACTGGTGCTCAGTGGGGTTGGACATCATAATTACAGTGATTCCTTACTGCTTTGACTTGCAGAGAGAAAGAAGAAATCCATTGTTATGTATGTGCCATCATGCAGGATAGTTGACCTCAATAACCCTTATTTGGAAACCCATTCTAAAGTTTTGCTAACCTATCATGTAGTATTCATATTAAATTATTTTGTAAATTAAAATGAAATGTTTTGGACTTTTTTGTCATAGAAACTTTACACTGTTTACATACAGAGATAAATAGGTAAAGAGAAATATGAATAATTTAAAAGGTAATCAATAATGCTTTCCCCAAGATAAAAGAATATGCAGAGCATGCAAAATCTGTCTTACAACACAAACACTCAAAAACATTCAATCTTGAATTTTTGTTTGTTGCAATATTATATTATTTTAAATAACATAGTATTGCCCTAGAAAGCACAGTTTGGAGTGGAAAACAGATTTAACTATTACTTTAAAAAATGTCTGCCCAGTACTTTTTTTCTAAAAATTCTTCTAACCTGACCAAAGGATTTGTCAATCAAGAGGCCCCCTCCACCAGAGAGAAGTGGCTTCTGGATCTAGGCTATGTAAATCTTAACCACTGTACATAAAGTTTTATTTTGCTTATACTGAGCATAAGGTAGAAATATGAATTCCAATCAGTTTATAACAATATATCAAACTATTTTAAAGGCAATTAAATAATAAAGTTAATTTTATCTGGACTCATGTGGGAAAAAATAATAAAGCTATTGTATAAATGTACCCATAAACTTTCAGACACATACTATAATTTAGAATGCCACACTAGGTTGGGCTTCAGTTATAACCTCATGATATAAGACAGCATGTCACAGGGCTGAGCTCTGGAGTGCAGCTGTCAACTGTAGCCTTTCTGATCTTTGGCAAATTGCTTCTTTACAGTTTCCTGACACAGCAGAGAGAATAAGGAGGCTATCATCTTGGGACTGTGTGGCTTCAGAGAAGTAATAATAAAATATGTCTGCTACATATTAGGAGCTCAATAAATGTTAAGTACTCATTCTTTTTCTTTTTTGTTTTTGTTTTTTGAGATAGGATATTTCCATGTAGTTCAGGCTGGCTTTGAACTCACTATGTAATCCAGGCTGGCTTCAAACTTTTGGTAATTCCTGCCTCAGCCTCCCAAGTACTGAGATTACCATCATGTGCTATCACATCTGGCTTGGCTACTATTATTAATGCAATTTGGAGGGGATGCTATGAAAAAATTTGTATCATGATTAAGCCTTTTAGTGGTGGTTGTAAGTTGTTAGTGATGAAAAAGAGAAAGACAAGCTCCTTTAGAGCCACTGATAAACTGCACTCTGAAGGCCTGCCTGAAGAAGTCATATTTTGGATAAATGATGACAACTTAGCTGCTGGTTTGGCAGAAAAATGTATTTATAGACATCTGTATCCTTGGCTAGAATGTTAATGTTTCTTTACTGGCAAAGGAAGATGAAATGGAAGTAAAATTTCTGCATTATTAATTCTGGTTGATAATTTATATTATTGGGAAATTTAAGAGTTTAGAGATACAGATTATGGCCTTATTTGCAGGAGATATTCAAGCCCACACACCTGAGGTAAATGCCACTACTGCATGTGCATGTAAGAATCGTCTTCTGGGCCCATGCTCGTGAGAGCACAAGGACAAATATAAAGCCTGTGATCCCATTCAGCGCAGCTATGAAACTGTCATGTTGTTTTCTGTCACTGAAGGGGAAGAAACCATAACACAGGGGAGCTTAGATTAGCAGAAGTATCGAGTCCTGACCTAGATCCTCAGTCTCCCAAATGAGTGTACAGTGAAGGTTTAAATAAATGAGACAAATGGCATGATTTTAGGGCTCCAAGAGGGTCAAAACCCTTTAGCTGAGTTCGAGACTCTGAGGGCTAAGACAAAGACTTTTTTGGACCACCCATTTTTATTAGGTCCAGAACAAAGGGCGGGGAAACTGAGGAAAGTTCAGGCAATGAACTGGACCTTGGGAGTCACTTGAAGGACATCTCCAAGTAATGAATCATGTCAATTTAGGAGAGCCATCTTATCTTCATGATGACGTGATAGGAGTGAGACTGTAGGAGCAATTCCTTCAGCTGCAGTCTCTATATTCTTAATTGATGTTTGAGCCTAGTGTCTGCAGCTGTGGCCTTATCTTGTCCTTTGAGGTATCTCTGGCCTCACAGGCCATTACAGACCTCAGGCAGGACCAGTGATTTATAGAGGTTCACTTACTATGAATCAGCTCCTGTCACCAGGCAAGGGGCCTAGGCCTAGGACTGACTCACAGATAAACATAAAAAGCCAATTTGAAATCCTGCTAGGAGCCACTTCATAGTGGTTTCCAACACACATGGCCCAGAAGGAAAACAGGTAAACAGGTTTCCCTGAGTAATTCTTCCAGGCAGCACCACTGCAACGCACTGGACTACAGCCTTGGGATGTAGAGACACTGGGGTCCATGCACTCATCAGCAGAGGACTGCCTCAGAGCACAGTGGATTGCTAAGACCCACTAAATGATTTCCCAAACTATTTGAATGTGAAAATTAGCAGATAATTTTTTTATTTTAAAGAGAAAACCACAGAAAAATCAAGAAGCAAACAAACCGTCAAAAGACAACAAAAACAAAATGACAACAACACGCAATAGTGATATAGAATTTCAAAACAAGATAGATGGTATGAATTTAACAATAGAACAATTGTTATATTACATATTGTTATCTTCAAAATAGTTGCTTAGGTTACCAGATACAGGCATGTGAGATTGATCAAACAATACAATTTCCTTTTGAGCAATTTCTTTCCCTTTTACTATAGAGAATGATTTTATGAAAGGGGGTAACAAGGGAAAATTATGTGACCAGTTTTATAGTCTGAATGTACCAAGTTGTTTTACTTTTCATCATCCTAAAATTGTATGTGTTTAAGTGTGCAATGTTAAATGTACAGGGAAAAAAAGTGCTGTGTAGCATAAATGTGGCCTGACAGTTATAAAGATATTAAGCATATAATCATTGAACTTTGATCTAAGGAGGTCTTCTGCATTAGAGACCAGTTTTGGACATGATCCAATCTCGATAGTACGTCACTCGAGTATAGACCCCAGGCTTGTTTGGAAGAGCACATTCATCTCCCCAGCTTACAATACCAGCAAGAAACCAAATTCCTTTAGAATCTGCCCTAACCAGTGGTCCACCAGAATCTCCCTAGAAAGAAAAAAGAGATGTGTAATTACTATCATTTAAAGGTGAATGCTGAGTATTTTTTTTTTTTGCAGTAAAATCTGGGAACAAAAGAAAAAAAAATTTTTTTTTACTAATTTCAATAGTTATATGATTCTAATCTAGAGTATTTTTGTGTTTTATGATTGTTTTCCTAAATCCAAGAGTCAGCATAAACCTTTGGCTCTAGTAATGCAACAGTGGAAAACAGGAAATATTTCTACTCAGTTATCACCCAAAGGAGCTACTGGAACTGTAGTCGCTTATGCAGTTACCAGCACACTGAAGAATGTTTTGATTATCTCCCTCAAACCCCCTATTTCCAGGAAAGGCTGGTGAAAAAGGTATGTATTTACTTACCACCAACACTAAGCTTGTGTAAACACTGCTCCAACTTTAAGAATTGTGCATTTGGTTATTATCTACTCTACACTTTAATTGTTTTCACCTGTTGATATTTAGACCATTTCCCCAAACTGATGGAACACTTTAGATTCTGTACTTTCTTTTTGCTGTAGTTCTTCCATCATCATGGGTAATTATAATATCTGTGCGATGGTGCATCTAATATCATAACCCCTTGACTAATATCTCTGCTACCTTGGGTTTGATCATTCACATTTTAATTCAGCATTCTTTATGTCATTCTTTTGTCGTCTCTTGGAATTGCAAAACAGGAAATTCTGCTATTTGTGTTTATATATTTAATTACAGATACTATTATATGCTATGTGACACAAAATGTGGTATATAACATATTATGTTATATATTATGAATATTATTCATACTGTGATAATATAAATAATTCATTCATCTGCTGATGCCATATAGGTTGTTTTCATATTTTATCTAATGTAAATAGTACCACAGTGAACACAAGGGAAGATATCACTTTGAAATACTGATTCCATTTCTTTTGTATCTGTTCCCAGAAGTGGAATTACTGGGTCATATTGCACTTCTATTTTTGGTGCTTTGAGGGACTTCCATGATGTTTTACATAATGGCTATACCAGCTTACATTCCTATCAGCAATGTATAAGTTTCCCTGGCCCTACATCCTTGCCAATAATTGTTACTTCTTGTCTTTTTTATAATAACCGTTCTAACATGTGAAATAACACTTCTTTGTGGTTTTAATTTGTAGCTCTGTGATAATTATTGATGTTCAGTATTTTTTTAATACTTCTTTGAATTCTTTGAAACAATGGTTGAATTTTCTTTTGTTTCTTTTTCTTTTCTAAACAGGGTTTCACTATACAGTTCAGGGTACCCTTGAACTCAGTTAGTAGCCCAGGCTGGCCTTGAATTCACAGTGATTCTCCTGCCTCAGCCTCTTAAATGCTGGAATTATTTGTGTACCATAATGCCCAGTTTAGATGAAATCTTTAAAAATATATCTATTCAGGCTTTTTGCTCACTTTAAAATCAGGTTGTTTTTTTTTTTTTTTTTCTTTTTTGGTATAGAGTTGTTGAGTTTTTCTCTGAGTAAGTTTGGAGGGAGAGACTTGATAATATTTATAAAATGTGGAAAAGGGTTCAATAGCCTTGGTCAGCTTAGGAAATAAATGAGAAGACTAAAATTAATACAAAGTTAAAATTCTGATGTGGATGAAAGGAGATTGAATGAAGAACACAGACAAGAGATTCGTTTTTAATAGTAGAAGAAATTTGTTTATTCTAAATGTAGAAGATGGGGGATGAGTCCAAATATAAATGTATCAGGGTGAGTGGAAATTAAGGTGATTCTCATGGCTACTTTCATTGTTTCTGGTTAGAAATATGTGCTAAGGATGATAAGGACAAGGATGGGCGGATAAAGAATGTGATGGTGTAACATCACACAATATGAGATTCCTGAAAGAAATGTAAAATGTGTTAAGGACACACCTGTGAATAAATGACTTCAATTTGCAGAAGGGAAAGGTTTATTCTAGGTGTGCTTAGGAGTTCATATAAGAGCAAATGAAGTCTGTAGTTTATCTTGTGATTAAAAATTATTAGGCTCAGTCTGGGAGAAGTAGGGATGAAGCCATCAAAGGGTGCAGTTGATGAAAGAATAAAATATGGGCTCCAATCTATGTAATTTTTGGAGTCATTGGGCTGAGAAAAAATTGAGAGGGTGGGGATTTAAGCTTTTCATGATAGACTATCAAAGAATAGTTGTAGTGGGACAACTGGAAAGATTTAAATCTTTAATTAGAGAAAATTATAGTTTATAAATATTTGTTCCTGAATCCTCTGGTGATTCTAAGAGTTCAGGAACATGCTCAATTTATCACAGTTTCCCTGGGTATAGCACGGGGTTTGGTATATCGTTACTGGTCAACAGATAATGACTACAAATGTTAGTGAATAAAGAGATTTACCACTGATTCTAGCTAATGATGTTAGAACCTTTGCTAGTTCTAAGTCTACTTCATATAAATACAAATGGGGCATCATAAGCACATTACACATAAAGAATTGTGGCTTAGTGTAGGGTTCAGAGTATGAGCACTTGAGCCAAATTCTTTGTATTTAAATTTTATTTCTGTCATTTACCAGCACTAACTGTGTTAAGTTACCTGATCTGTTTGCCTCAGTATCTTCCTCTGAGAAGTAGGGTTTACAATAGTACAAACATGCTGCAGGGGATTGTCCTAAGTAGAATGAATTAATATTTAAAACATCATCTGACATATGAAGATGCCATATCAGGGTTGTTAAATAAATAAAATATTTAGAATGTTGGAGACAGATTATGAAAAGTCCAGACTGATTGTTTTGTATTAGATCTAGTTGTGTGTTTCTTGGTGAAAGATCAACCAAGCTAAGGTAATCAATAATCAAATATTTTCATTGCTTTGTACATCTCTTCCCCTACTGTTTCTTAGAACAGGACAGGTGATTTAGTATTTCATTCCTTGAATGAGACCTATGGATATCAATGTCATTTTAATTATATACTTTGCCTACAAAACATACTGAGGTCTTTATACACTGAGAGAATTAAACTGGTTAACTGCAAAATTTAAACTGCAAGAGAAGAAGCTTGAAGAGGAATTTAGCAGCTCTACCTGGCAAGCATCTACACGCCCCTTCAGGAACCCGGCACACAGCATTCCAGCAGTGACCGCTCCATCATAGGCCTCTTTGCTGTTGCAGGTCTTATTATCTATAATCTTCACCAATCCTTTTTGGAGTACATTAGGGCTTGTTCCTGAAGAAAATATAGTACAACTTTTGCTGAAGTAAGTATTAATTGCTCTGGCTAAGTTATTACTATCTAACACGATGAACAACTTTCAAATCCATGTAAAATATATATGTTAATTATACTTTTTTCTCCTTAATAGCAACAAAAAGGCAACTAATGTTTATATACACACCAAACTCTTGCTAAAAGTTAGCATTTTAAGAAATTTTTAGTGTTTACATCCATATATGATTGTATTTTTCCTATTAAATTGTTTGAGAATTTTATATTTGTGATGTGTGCCTTAGAGAAAGCAAAATTAAAGTTCATAACCCAAAAGTATGTATTTAATAATCACTTTTAGATTTTCAGCTAAGTATCACTGTAATTCTCATTCTCAGGATTAATTTTAAGTTTGTTTTTCTGTTTTCAAAATGCATTTATGAACATAAATAGCCACAAAAGCTTTACATTGTTAGAATCATGGGATTCATGCATAAAAATCCCTTTGTTCATAATATTCGTTCATAATCTTACTAAGCATTACTCATTTCATTTCATTAAAAATGCTCAATATATGGAGTGAAATGAAAGCTTTTTTTCCTAGCTAAGAAAATAGGAGTATTTGCCTACTTTATCCTTTAAAGTATTCTGGTCACCTAGAAAATTGCTATGAACAAAAATAGTAATCAAAATTAAGTGTTGATTGAATGAATCAGTGAGGTGGAGAAAAATAAATTATGTGTCCAAATAATAAATACTGTAAAACTACCATTTTAAAGGGAAAAATGATAAATGTCTATAAATTCTAGTTTCCACATGAATGACATTGAGGGTAATTTTCAATCCATTACACATTATCCTCTTTAAAAGGGTCTGGAGGAAGCATGTTTTTCAGATTCAGTTGTAATTTTGAATTCCTTTTTACCTTCTAAGGCTCAAGCTATGCAAGCAGATTAGAAACTTACCATCAGACTTTAATGTCCCCCATCCAGTGACCACGACATCTGAATTGGGCGGGAACTTATAAGCAGCTTCTGGAAGACATGCTCTTCTGATGTTGCTGGAATACAATACTGGTGAATACAGGTGTACAAGAGCAATGTCATTTCCACGTGCAGGATAATGGTAGTTCTCATGAACTATAATGTCCTTGACTCTTCGCTGTGTCTGTGGATCACTTAGAAGAAGTCCAAAACTAACATTCCAGTCTTTGGGTTTGTTGGTGCTAAAGGAAATAGAATTCGTTATGAAAAGTCTTATATATTGGAGTTTCAGGAGTTAATTTCTTCACCTTTGGAAAAAATAATAACATGAGTAAATCTTTGATAATACAACAAATCCTGTTTTGAAGGATAACCCATGGAAACTATATTTTATTCTTAGTTTGGATAGAAAAACTAATATGGATTTAGAAAGATAAGTGCAATAACGTACAGCTAGTCTGATTTAAAAAACGAAGTGGATATAGAAGCAGGACATGGTGGCACATGCCTGTGGTCGCAGCACTGACGTAGGAGGATTGCATTGAGTTCAAGGCCAGCTTAGGCTTCATAGTGACCTCAAAGCCACCCTGAACTACACAGGGAGACCCTGTGTTAAAACAAACAAACAGCAACAAAAAAGATGGATACAGTATGGAATGAATTTATGGAAATTAAGAAAGCAATCTACATTCTCTTTTTAACCATTAAAAACTATGAATAAAATACTTTTGACTTTTATTATTATTTATTATTCAAAGATCTGTATATTAAGTACTAAACATAGTATTTCTGGGGCATTTTCAAAATCTACTGAAGCAATATAATAAGAACACATGTTTTTGAAAAGAACTGAAGTTTTGAGAGGGATTAAAGCAAAAACTACTACAGAAAAACAGTGGCATTAATGAAAAGAATCATTAAATAACAGTGGAAAAGTCTTTTGCATATAAAAGGGCAAACTTTTGATACAACAATACATCCTTCAAAGACATGATTTCAAATAGGATAGCGGATATAAGTCAATTAAAGCATTGATGAGAAAGAGAAGATGAATGCTTAGTTGGAATTTAAGTTTTTGAAAATTAATTTGAGGAGAATGACTCTAACCTAGTGTTTCTGAATTGGGGGGTCACTTTGTCCTCGCATATTTGGTCATGTCCGGAGACATTCTGGTTACCATCCTGTGACATGATGTTGGTGGGTAAGGGCAAAAATGCTGCTAAAAATTAAAAAATGCACATGATAACTTTCCAGAATTAACTGATCTAAAATGTCACTAGTGCCACTGCTCACAAACCTTGTTCTAAACTTACTACACCCATTGCATCTGTGGGTAGTTCAGAGACTGTGCTGCATCATAGGGACAGTAGAGGGCATGGTTCTGTGGCTACACTGTTGTAGGTGTACTTAGAGTGTTAGGGACTTGAATGACTCAGGGACCGTCCTTTGGGCTGGCGAGAACTTACTTTACAAAACAGTGAGCAGCAGTGACCAGCCAGCTGTTGCTAATCAGGGTGGCCCCACACCGATGGACGGCGTTCTGTTGCAGACTTGCTTGCCAGGGCCATTCTCCTTTCTCTGCATTCTGTCCTCCGACTATTTTGTTGCCAGTAGGTGTTACGGTGCGTCGTCCACAACCTGCTCAAAATAGCATCAGTATTCATAATGCATGCACATGTGTATTGCTGTGGTAAACAAACTCCCCATAACGTGTCCCTATTACCTGAGAAAATGTTCAGAGTCTTGGAGAAGTCAGGACGGCATTAACTGCTGACTTGAGGCTTCCTGAGAATTCATTCAATACAGCCCTAGCCTTCTTTCTGTATTACCAATCGCTCACATATGCTGTGTGTGTCTGTACGGTCTCCCATGGCCTCATGTACGAGTTAGGCTTAATTACAGGTTTGAGTATGCAAGATAATAGCTTCATAAACTACAAAACTGCACAGGGAAATATGTGCCCTTTAAATCTCAGTGGGGATTGTACTAGAGTAACAAGTGCAGGGAGAACATTTGTATGGAGGTATGAATGAACATGAGTGTGAGCGCGAGATTTATGAGACACACAATAGACAGAAGCATCTTCTCACTCAAGTCTCAACTGAATACCTGGATACCAGGAATGACTCATGAAGAACATCCAGCTTCCAAAGTATATGCGTCTATCAATCAGGACTCTGCTGACTGTTTAGATTGGAGTAACTGCTAGACTCAGTTCTAAAGCAAATCAGTAGCAATAGTACAACTTCATTATTCTATCTGGTTTCTCTCTCTCTCTCTGTCTCTCTACCCCCCCCATCATTCCTTTAACTTTACTCCACGTGCTAAGTTTGTCCTTAAGAGTCAATAATACTGTTATTAGAGATTGCCACCTCATTAATAAAAGCTATTGGAGAATCAGAACCATATCTTTTTAAAGATCTATGTCTCCAGAATCTACCACAGAGTAACTGTTGCATATCAACAAATGATTATAGAAATAAAGTCTAGGTAATATAATCCACACAGATCATGTTAAAGGCCTAACTGCACCTCTGATGTCTTTATGTTTGTATGCTGCCCTTACATTTTAGATATCTTCTAGATAGTTAAGACATGGTTTTCATAACAATCACTCAGCGCGCAGGAGCTTTGCAGTGCTGTGTTGGAGAGGCAGTGCTCCCAGTGACTCACTGACTGCAACTTCCTTTCTCTCTGTTTTTCCACTCCCTCCTCGCCGAAGCTACAGAGGATTAAAGACAATCTAGAACCTGGAGATATGCAGGGGCCTCCCAGTCCTTCCTTTTGTTTGGACAACTCCTAAAGGAAGCTGGCTTTTATTCAAATTCCTCCAGAGGAATATAAAAACAGGGATGCTTCTCTGTGGGCTAGGAACGTCCCCGAGGCAACTCTACTTTCCTGTCCCTGCTTTTACTCATAATTCTCACTTGGTTTTTACCCATGCAGCAGTTCCCACTCTGAGTTTTCATTCCTCTTGGTTGTTTTGTCTGCTAAGTTTTCAGCCACCACCTCTGCTATGTTGCCTTATTACCTCTGTGATATGGCGCCTCATAGTTTATGACTAAAGAAATAAACTATTTCAAGGATTTGAAATGAAGATGCTGGTTGCTCAGCAAATCTGAAGAGTCTAGGTAAATTTTAATATGCTTTATTATGTCACACACCAAAGCTCTATTATTTGTTTAGACTTGTTTGATTTGTCTGGCCTACCCTTCTTTTTTAATTAAAAGTACAGAGTCCTAGATAGGTCAAGTCAGATGCAGAGTCTGACGTGAAAGCGTGTGTAGACTTCTAGGTGAGGGGCAGAAGCTGCATGATCTCTCATAGCTGCATTGATTGCTGCCTTGCCTACTTCTCTCCTATGACCCTGACAAATTCCCACTGCTGAATTTACATTTTGTGCATGTTAGAGGTTTTAATGAGGTACTACTTTACTTTAAACTGTCTTAAGTCACTTGAGGACAGATTGATTTTTTTTCTCAGTGAAAATCAATGAGAAAAAAAATAAGGTATTGTGCTTGCGTTTCAATTTTGTCCAAGTTTCTTAGAAACAATAATTCTGGGACTGAGGAACTCTTAAGCGGGGGTGGGAGGTGGGAGGTGGTGTATGTGTATGTGTGTGTATGTGTATGTATGTGTGTGTGTGTGTCCAGGTCATGAGGCCCTTGGAGGGCTCTTCTCTATCCACCCCTCCCTATCCGTCCTCACACTAAAGCAGTGCTTTTCCTCTGGGCTTGCTTTCTCAGGACAGGCAGTGGGAGAGGAGAAGCATAATGCATTGGCCAGCAGAAAGCAGCTGCTTATGTGCCAGGTACTCTGTACTCTAATTACCTACTGAGGTAAAAATTCCACGGTGAGTTCCAAAGTCTGGGTTTACATAGGCAAAAAACAAAACAAAATACCCTCCCATCTAAGAAAAACAGCTGAAATAGGCTAAGTGCTTACTATAAACATGTATACTCTTTTAAGTACTGTATGTGTGTCAGCTTATGGCTTTGAGAAGTTATATAACCTATGTAAATAGACCCGGTCTGTGTGTTGCAGATCTGGGACTTGAAACATATGTAACTGATTTTAGATTTTTTTTTTATGTTTGTTTATAAATTTTTATGAATGTATGTTTGCAGCACAGTAGTTACATTAGTCATCGGGCATTGGTACAGATACAGAGCAGGTCTTAATTCTTTTTAAGTGCCCTTGGTCTCCACTCCCTCCTCCTTCCTTCCGTTTCTCCATACTCTTCTCATTTGCAAAAGATCTGTTTCTAGGTTCTATGTGCTTCATTATTACTGCTTGTCCTTCTGTCCCCTCTGCTCATGATAGCGTGTGAAAAATGCATTCCTCGTTTTAAATCCATGTTACCGTGTCAAGCAATTTAAGGGCAACTATAGTAACTTTCATGCAAACTTCTGAAAGCACGCTGCCTGTTACACCTTCATGGATATCACATAGACTTGCAAGAGGAGGCTTTTTGGTCATGCACAGAATTAAATGTTGATTGAAAATAACTTTTTCATGAACTCACAAGTGTTGAGAAGATTTTCTGCCATCGACATTGCAATGTCTGTAAAAAAGGAAAAAAAAATGAAAATTATGCTTGTGAACACAATTTGTTTCAATATGAATAGTAAGCATAATAATTTAATACAATATTTCAGTGTTCATAAAGTGGCATGAAATTAATATATAGTTTTTTGTTTTTGGTCTTTTTGAGACAGAGTTTCACTGTGCAGCTCAGGCTGGCCTTGAACTCCTTTTATAGCCCAGCCTGGTATCAAATTCACTGTAACTGCCCTGTCTCAGCTTCCTGAGAGCTGGGAGATTAATATAATCTTTGTAGTCATTTTCTATTTCTAAAGAAAACTTTCATGGTCCTCTTTAAAACTTATTAGAAAAAGCAATCTTGGTCCTGGAAAGTGCTACAATGTATGATGATCTTCCACCATACCTTAAACCCAAGTCAGTAGAAAATGGAATGTAATTGTACCTTTTTATGTCCACTTTTAATCCACTGGCTCATCTTTTATTGTAGGCACAGCAGTGGTGACTGTGTCAGTTTGGGTCAGCTTTGCCTAGAGGACCTGAGCAGGTATCTTTCACAAGGTAGCACCTAGGATTTCTCCCCTTCCGTTTGAAGAAACCCATCAGCCACTTCTAGGTGGACAACCAAGGAAATGTGAGAATTCATGCTGGTGGGGACAACAAGCAATGGAATATGGGAGCTGATGGACAGATACTTCCCATTCAGTCACAAAGAACACACTTCTTAGGTACAGTTTATTAAGTCCTGGGGATGTTTGATAGCCACCCTCAGTGATGGCAGACTCACTCTCAAACCTGCTGTATGCATGCGAGTTTTTGTTTCAGATTCTGCTTCTTAGGAAATCAGGATATGACAAATAGTACTCTATGTAGGAGAATGTATGTACATTGTTATAGTCAGTACATTTTTGTTTTAAATCCCTTTGCCAATACTTTTAAAATTAGTACTCTTTGTGTGATAAGTTTCAGTTATTTGGAACATTCAGTTAAGCATCACATCTCATGTCCCATTCATTTTAGGTCAAAAGGAATTTAATTCAGCAGTGGGGCAGATTTTAATACCATCTACTAATTCTTGGGCAAACAAATTATATTGGGGACTATTACATAATGAAATTATTTCCACCAGATAATTTTGCTATGTACCCTCTATCCATGCAAGATGGCAAACCTGTTCAATTCATGTGGGAGAGGTACAAGGAGGGGCCGAACAAATGAGTTCCAGTCCACATTTCAGACACAGGGAACTGTAACCCCACTGTCGTTTCTACTTAAAGAGTTCTGTTTTGAAAGCAAATCTCTAGACGATGAATAAATTAAGTACTACAAATATCAGTATAGATTTATTTTTATTATGTCATTGTAGTTCTATAAACTGAAAGAAGGAGTATCCAGTCTTACACAGAATTACAATTGCATACTTTCGTACTAGGTTGCACAATACATCAGATAGACAAAAGAACCGTTCCCAGAAAGTTAGCTGTCAAATCAAAAAGGAAAGGGCCACTCAGCAGTCCACCTGGATGATGACGAGCAGACAGAGCCACACCTCTGTGGACAGAAAGCTCTCGTGGTTGCATTACACCCTGCACAGCTATCTTAATTTGATAGGATATTTGTGGACCTTGTTTTTGAATTTTATATGCTTTGTAAAACACATTAAATAGATAAATGTTAGGTTCGATACTATAAGAACCAATTATTTAAAAACCTTATTCTATTCACAGAATTACTTCTTTCTTTGAAGTTTGCTTTATTAATGTATGACTTGCTAAAGAGAAGAAATCTTTTTGACTTATGATTTACTTTTAATGGTTCTATTATCTCAAAGCTCCATAGAATTATTATCATTCAGGTGGGTGGAAAGACAAGCTACAATGAGGGGGGAAATGACTCAAGTCATTGTCTTTCAAAACTGAATCACACAGTCCCTGCTTGGGTTTCCTTTCTCTCGAGATTCTTGGCTGGAAACTCAGGGACTTTCTTGGATTTAGCTCTGAACTAAGAAATCAACAGTGTAAGCTAAGATATCCTGTTTACAATATACAGTGTAAAGGAAGTGACAAAAAACAATGGCCTTGTCTCTACCAAGGAGGGAGTGAATCAAAGGATAGTAAGGCAAAGCAGTTTTAAAACTTGCTCAGCAGGATGGGAGTGGTGGTGTGCACCTGTAATTTCAACACCAAAAAGGCTGAGGTGGGTGAATTGCAACTTCCAGGCCAGCCTGGACCACATAAGGAAACCTTGTCTGAAAACAGCGACAGAAAAGAAAGAAAAACAAACAAATAAACAAAAACAGTTCATCCTTTGTGTTTGGTCTCTTCCTGTGGACCAAGAATCAAAGAGTAGACTCGGTTACTGTCCTAAGTAAATTTACAATCTGGGAGAAGAGATGAATAAGTATATAACTTAAAATCAGTGTCAGAAATGTAATGGCAAAGTATGCATAGAATATTGAATGTACCAAGAAAAGTAACTCTACGTAAAAATGGAAATTAAAATTTCTGATTTCAGGACTCTTTGAGAGAGTCCAGAAATTTACTCACTGTTGAAAACTGATTAGATGTACTCTAGATTTGTAGTGTAAAATTCACATGACTATATTGTTCACATTTCTTGGAGTTAGTAAGAAAAGCAAGAGTTTGATATCCAGTGGGTATTTTTTTTCTGGAAAAGAGAAATCTAAAACACAAAACTAAATAATTGTAAGGAGGAATTTTACAATAGTGGTAGATTGATCTGTAGTATAAATTTTATGTAGTTATTGGTCTTTGAATCTCTTTCAGTGAATTAGTTACTTTATATTAATCCAAATACTAAACTAGTTGATTAGTCTTATTTTCCTTAGGGTTCTAACATTAAAAATATAGTAGCATTAAGCTGTATTTGCTCACTGTACGTTGTGAAATACTAAAAATGCTCATCTGATAAATTTATGAAAACTCTAGAACAATAAATGCACATAAGTGTGAATAGACTTATTGAGTAAAAGCAAAATAACTACTATAAAATTGTTTTATGATGCAGATACCACCATCTTATACAAGGGAAGTTAATTCTCCTTTCTCTTTCTGTTTCTGTCTCCATCTCCGTCTCCCCCCACGCCCCAAACACATACACACACCCACACACACACACCTCTACTCTGGAGTTATAATATGACCAGTGTGCATTAAACAGCAAAGGAAAACAACATGGATTTTGACTGTGCAAAATTAGGAGTCTTCATTTATCACAGGTTTTGACTGGTCACCCAGTTCTTATCTAGCCCTTAATAAATGTTTTTCTTTGTTTCTAATGAGACTTAGAACTAACTTTATTGCATGATATTACTTATCATTTGTCATTCCTCAGAGTAATACATGTAGTTTTTATAACATGTACCTTCATGTTTACCATGTTGAAAATTAAAATAAAATATTACTTAATTTAATTAATTTAATGGTGAGCTGTATGTGCAAGTGATAGTTTTAAAGGTAGAAATATCTTACATTTCTTTTTAACTTTTTTGTGAATTTCAACAAATATGAAAAATTGAACTCTCTGTTTTTATTTGGACATTATCACTGCTTTTCGGATAATGCAAGCCTTGTTGATTTGAAACCCTGGAAGTGGTGGGAGGAGAGGACAAGACGTGCTGTCAGGAGCATCCTAGACAGACACTCGCCGGGCAGAGCGTGGCGGGGAGAGTATGCAATACTTTTGATGTGCCAGCCTCGTGTTTCAAGGGCCCTTGTGAGGACGCAGTGAACAGAAAGTGAGTCTCTACCATCTCCAGTTTGGAAGTTTCTAGCTGGTTCTCCAGGTGTCTAGGCGTCTTGTGAGAGTGTTTCAGCTCCCAGGCTCACCCTCAAGGCTTCCGTGTTTTCCTTTTCTTTTATGCCTTTGTTTCCTGTAAGACCGTCTTAAAAGGTGGCTTCTCCAAGCAGCTTTACTGCTTGTCCCCTTTGCGTGTCATTCTTGGCTTTATATTCTCTTGCCAGTCATTGTTTTTGATGCCAAATGACTATTACCTGGTAATATTCACTTGTTTGTGATGAATGTATTAAAATTTTTGTCTCAGAACTGTATTTTAGTTAAATGAACTGGAGTGATTTAGTACTAAGATATAAAATTAATGCCTATCACAAATATATATTATAGATAATCTGCCTTTTTATTTTGGGAGATACCAGAAAATAAGAACCTTCAGTATGAAAGGCTATTTCTGTTGTATAGATATTTTTGTGGAAGTATGCCCTGTGTGCCTTATTGTTAGTGACCTCTTTTAATGTACTAGCATATTGCTATCTATACATACTTAAAGCATCCTGATAGCAGGTAATACATGGTATACTACTTAGCAATAGATATTTCAAACTCTCAGCTGAAGAGTGCACTTGGAAAATACTTAAAGAAATATTTTCAGTATATTCTTGGCTTAATTGAAAGACATTCTGAAGTACTGATTGGTACAGTGTTCCACATCTTTTGGTAGACTTGATAACATTTCTCTGTAATAAAGTGGAGAATCAGGAAACATAGTTGTCTGAGGACTTAAAAAACAGTGCACTGAATTTTACATAGAATTAAAAAGAATCCATCCCACTTTCATTTAGAGGCTATTTTTCTAATTGGTATTCATGAAAACTGTAAAACATTTAAAATAATTTAAAGAAGATACAAAAAAGATCCTTAAAAAATGTAGAAGTGTCTCCTTTTCCTTGCAGCCTTGATTTCCAGGCCCACCAGCTCTCTCAATAGTGTGTCTTCAGCTTCTCACGTGTGACTGTTACGTTAGTTTATTGTACTTTCAAATACCCCTCAGGTAGAGATTTGACTTATATAGATCTAAATATAGGATAAAAATGCCAGTGTGAATTCTCTAGCTACTGAGCTTTGTTACCTCTGTGGTATGAACTAACTTTCTGTTATCTACTCCAGACTTTACACATTATATTATATAGAGGTAGTCATCATGAAAAGTCTTTGGAGTCACTATTCACCAATATTCTTCTTTAACTTTTTGGTCCCAGCTTGTTT